GTTTGGTGCTTGGTGCTTGGTGCTTGGTGCTTGGTGTTTGGTGTTTGTTGCTTGGTGCTTGGTGTTTGGTGTTTGGTGTTTGAAATTTGGTGTTTGGTGTTTGGTGTTTGGTGTTTGGTGTGTGGTATGTGGTGTTTGGGGGTTGGTGTTTGGGGGTTGGTGTTTGGTGTTTGGTTTGTGGTGTTTGGGGAAGGCGGGGAAACCTGTAAGGGTCTCACCCGGAGAACGAACCGACCCGGCATTCGCGGGCAAATCGAGCACCAGTTCTTCTCCCTCCTCGGTGCGCTCACCCCGCCGATCCCAGCAGACCCAGGAGGACCCCCAGGAGGAGGAGGTGCAATGCCAGCTTCATTTCACCCGGAGAACGAACCCTTCTCCCTGAGAGCGAACCCTTGTCCCGGAGAAGGACTTTTTCCCATGCTGGAGGCCGTCTGGAGCGGAGCTGGGCTCTTCTTCGGCTGCCTCGGAGGCCAGCATCGGAGGCCTGGGATTCCAGATTCGATTCCCGGGTCTCGGGGGCCAGTCTCTCCTCCATCTCCTCCTCCTCCTTCTCCTCCATCTCCTCCTCCTCCTCCTTCTCCTCCTGCTCTTCCTCCTCCTCCTCGTCCTCCTCCTCCTTCTTCTCCTCCTCCCCCTCCTCCTCCTCCTCCTCCTCGGCGACCACTCTCGGGGCACCCAGAGACATTCCCGAGAACTTCTGCCCGCCTGGCTCCGCGGCGCTTCAAAACCATCACCCCCATGACCGTGCCCAATGTAAGAGCTTGCGAAGGACGTTTCTGCCGAAATCAATCAGATCACTCCGCATGATACCTCGAGGGCACAGTGGGGTAAAGTCTTTTCACTACAGATGGCAAGCCGCCCGAAGCATAGTTGATGATCATATTTGCGATGGAAGTGGGACGGCTAACAATTAACATAGAGGTACGCTGAGGGGTTTGAGGGAGTGGGGACCAGCCACGGCAAGAGAAAACTGTGTCGGTGCGGGCCTGGCTGTAATCAATAATCAGAAGCCTTTGCCACTGCCCCAGGGAGTTTACTCTCCTCGGGACGCTGTCAATTTTTTGTAGTGGGCTGGCGTAAGCCTTGGAGATGCTTCTTCCGCTCGTCCTTCTGGCACAGAGCTCGCCGTCCCACATTTCGCTTCTCCGGCGCATCGTGTTAGAGCACGCCTCCTTGCGCGTGCAAGTAGAGCGGCGTGGAATTGTTGACGCTCCTACTGGGGCGCTGCCCACGCTCCTCAGCTTACCGGGAAACTGGAGGCACACGACGTGGCTGGCTTGAGCGAGAGCTGGACAAGCACGTGGCCGCACGCCTTTCCGGCGCCCGTCCCTCTTGCGACGAGGCGGGCCGGGCACCCGCCTGACTTAAGCATCCGGCGCGCGGCCTCCCCAGACATGCGACGCCCTGATTTTTTCAGGACGGCGTCCCTGGAAGTCCTGACCCATGCCCCGGGACCAGTCTTTCGTCCTGAATCGTAATTTGGACGGCCCCGAAGCCTGGCGAGGCCCCCCCGGGGCCGAAGATAGACAAAAGCCTCCCGTCCTGATGTCTGGGCCCGACAGTAGAAACATACACGAACATTTTTGTTTTGTATGACGCGATCGTGTCTTGGTCCGGCTGCTCCGCGCGTGGGCCCAGCCACGTGTGTCTCCAGGTGCCCGGGCCTTGCCCCGAGGCAGCTCGGCAGCTGGCCCCGAGGGGGGGGGGGGGAGCGGGAGCAGGCCTGCTCCGAGAGGCCCGCGCCGCTCCTCCCTCCTCCTCCTCTCCTCCTCCTCCTCCTCCTCCTCCTCCTCCCTCCTCCTCCTCAGCCCTCCTCCTCCTCCTCCTCCTCCTCCTCCTCCCCCTCCTCCTCCTCCTCCTCCTCCTCCTCCTCTCCTCCTCCTCCTCCTCCTCCTCCTTCCTCCTCCTCCTCCTCCCATCCTCCTCTCTCCTCCTCCTCCTCCTCCTCCTCCTCCTCCTCCTCCTCCTCCTCCTCCGGGGAGGGCCCGCCCCCCATGCCTTCTCTTAGGTCGGGCATGTCCCCCTACGGGCTGATCTTGGATGAGAAACATATATTAGAAATAGTCCAAACGTGCCCCCCACATGGTCGAAAACATGGAGAAGATCGTCCCCAGAGTATTTTTGGACTCTTCTTGAACATTCCTCCTGTAGAGGGACAGGCCCGACTTGAGCCTTCTCTCCCCTGTCGGTACCACCCGCACGCACGCGGCGGGGGCGTTGGTTCAGGAGTGCGCCCCGCCCCGGAGGCTGCAGACCCTGGAGGCTTCTTTCTCTGATGAGGGCGGCGGTGATCTCCATGGCCGATGCACGCTTGGGGTGCCACTGGCCTCCAGACCCCGGGTTCCTTATCGAAGGCGTCCTTATCCAATGCCATTGCCGTCCGTAGCCATTTTGGCTCAAGGCAATGAACCGTCCCGACGACCGCGAGTCTTTCGGGGCGACTAAGCGCGAGGGAGGTTCTGTTTTGAGGCTACCTTCCTTTCCAACAAGTGTGAGCTGCCACTGCAGCACCCTGGACCTGCGGGTCACGGTTTCTTCTGTGTCGGCGGGTCCGCCCCCGTCGGCACCTGCCTGCTGCACGCCCGCGGCTGAGCAGCGCGCCCGCCCGTTCCGGCGATGGGGCCGAAGGCCGAGCCTGGCTTCGTCGTGTGCACGGGCTGCCGTTTCCGCTGGAACTTCCGCAGGAATGCGAAGTGCTGGCTGTGCGGGATCGGGCTGGAGCTGGCGCCCTCGAAGCCTTCGCCCCGCGTCGGGGTCTGGGCGGACGACGGCGGCGGCGGCTCCCAACCCGCACGGCGAGGAGGCGGCAGCGGAGGCCCACCGAAGAATGGCGCCAAGGGCGGCAAGGGCGGCAAGGGCCGTGGAGGAGCCTCCCGTGGCGGCGGTGGTGGAGCAGCCTCCCGTGGCGGCGGCGGGGGCGCGGGTGGCCGTGGCGGAGGCGCCTTCCCGAAGGCCCCCTGGTCGGCCCCCCCCGAGAGCGAGCTCGAAGCGCTCCTCGCCTGCGGGGACCCCGCCATCGCGGCCAGGCTGCAGGAGGCAGTCCGTGACGCGCGGGGCTGCGTCGCGCCCGCGGTCGCCCCAGCTCCGAAGCCGCTCGAGCAGAGGCTGCAGTCGGCCACGGCGAAGCGGATCCACCTCCAGCGCCAGCTCGACGAGGTGGCGGACGCGCTCGTGGCGGCGGAGGACCACCTCGCTCTGTGCCGAGGCTGGCGCGACGAGGCGGCGGTCAACCTCGCAGAGGCCAAAGAGGAGGAGAACGCCCTCCTCCGCCAGCGAGCCCAAGCGGCTGGTGTCGTGGGCGCCCAGCCCGATGGAGCGAGGCAGCTCACCTTCAACTTCGACGCGGAGTCATTCGAGAACTTCGCGGAGCTGGAGGAGGAGGCGCAGGCCACCCTCAGGCGCCTCTGCGACGAGGGGCTCCAGATCATGCAGGGGGCGCAGGCTACGTTCGAGCGCAACTGCCAGGAGCACCAGCAGCGCATCAAGCGCCAGATCGAGGAGGAGGTGGCCAAGAAGCGCAAGCGCACCGAGGAGGGGCCTGCAGCAGCCGTGGCCGCTGGCACCCCCGTGCGGGGCGCGGCCGCCCCGCCGCAGCCAGCAGGACAGGCGGCCGCCCCTGCTGCTGCCGCCGCCCCAGCAGCAGGCGCTGCGCCTGGTGCAGGGCCCCCCCCAGCGGCCGCCGTGGAGAGCCGAGCGGCAGACGAGGCGGCCCGACAGCGCGCTGCCGACCAAAAGGCTGCTGCGGCGGCCCCTCCACCTGCTGCTGGCGCTGCTGCTGGCAGCGGCCAGGCCCGCGGGTAGCACCCTGCTGCCAGGCGGCGGCCCCGTAAGCGCGGCGCCGCCCGTCCCAGTCGGGGCTGAGGAGGCAGAGGCGGCGGCGCCCAGCAAGTTCGAGCAGGCGGGCTGCTCCATGTTTGAAGGCACTAAGCTGGACTCGCTGACTGTGGTGATCCAAGAGCCCTCTGTGCAATGGCAGGCCTTCCTGCAGATGATCGAGAGCGCGGCGGCGAGACTCTGCAAAGAAGAAGCCAAGGCGGCCAGGCTGCGCTGGATGGACTACGTGGACGTGGCCTCGACGAAAGGGGCGAAAGGAGCCCGCGTTGTCATGCAGGGCCGCGATCAGGTGCTGGACTCGGTGATCGCGCACTGCCCCGACTGGCTGAAGCTCCCCGTTGTAGTCCAGCAAGCCCAGAACCAGATCCGCATAGAGTGGAAGGCCCCCTGGAAAGGAGCCGATAGGGAGCACAGGACCAGACCAGCCGATTGGATCTGCTCCATGGTGCTGCCCCCGTTCACGGTGGGCGACAGCTTCGAGGCGGCGAAGTCGCTCCCGAAGCAGACCGCTCTGGGCTGGGATGCGTTCCACCTGCGGCTGGTCCTCTCCCAGGGCAGGCCCTTCGCCGATATGATGGCAGAGGTGCTCACGGCTTGGGTGTTGCAGCCGCAGCCCGCGGCCCTCTTCACCACGGTGTTCCTCTTCCTGGGGAAGCCAGACGGAGGCCGCCGCCCGATCGGCCTCATGGGCAAGTGGTTGCGCATCTGGCGCAGGGTGCGCCGCCGCTACGGTGTCAAGTGGGAGAAGGACCACCAGCCCACTTTGATCTGGGGCAAGGATGCGAACAGCTGTGACATGGCGGTCTACCCACACAACCTGGGGCTCGCGCTCGCCCGCCAGCTTGGCTTTGGGGCAGCCTCAGTCTATCTCGTCGGCAAGTTCTACGCGCGGACCGACCACGACCGTTTCAAGCGAACTGCCGAGTTGGTGAGCTTGATAGGCCACCGCTACGAGGAGCTCTTCTGCCAGGACCTCTTCGTCGGCGCCCAGTACCAGGTGCAGAGGCCGCGCTGTGACCCTGGCGGGGCGCGCCGCTCGCGCGGCTGGGACGCGGGCGCACTCGTGGTGCCCGCGGGCGCCCTCGTCTTCACGGGCGGCTCCTGCGTCAACAACGACCTGATGATCAGGAGCGCGGTCTGGTCGGTGGCGGTTCTCACGACCGTTGGCGAGTGGGCGGTGCAGGCGAGGGGTGCGGCGCCGTCTGCCCTGAAGCTCATCCCCTCCCGTTCGCGGGCGGCCATCGAGCGGGGCGGCCTCATGGAGGTGGAGCTCTTCGGCAACCGCCTCGTGGGCCAGCTCGCGAAGGCGGGCGCGGCGATGCACGCCATCGCCGACGAGGAGGCCCGACTGCTCCAGGGCTGCCAGGCCCGCACCCGCTTCGCGGCGCGCTTCGCCGCCGAGTTCGAGGTCCAGGACACGGAGTCGGGCTTGCGGGACCTCACCCCCTACTTTGCGGCGGAGCTCGACGGCGAGGCCGACCCCCTGTTCGCCGCCGCGGCGGAGCCCGCCCCTGGGACAGGTGGATTCAGCCCACCGAAGTCGCAGTCCCAGGGGCGCGGCCAGTTCGGGAAGAAGCACGACGTGGGGGTGCGCGCGGCTGGCTTCGCGGAGCTGGACGCGCTGGTGGCTGCTCCTGACGGCGCGGCGCTGGTGCGCGGCAGCGGCATCTCGGAACCCATCGAGCTCCCCGAGGGCCGCGAGGCGCCGCCGCTGTCGGGCACGCCGCTGGCGGAGGCCCTGGGCAGCCGCCGCGGCCTGCAGACAGCAGCCTGCCGCCCCCAGCTGCCCCCTTGGTGCGCCGCCCGCGGCAGGTTCGCCAGGCGCCACGCGACGCGGAGCACGTCGCGCTGTATGGCGATGGCAACGTGAAGGAGATCGACGCGGAGCTTTGCGGTGGCTACGCCGAGGCGCAGGCCTCGGCGGCTGACGGCGGCCCCCTCCTCGCCACGGCGGCGGCCCTGGCAGCGGCGGCGGCTGCTGGCGCCTCCAGCTCGCGCCCTTCGCCCATGAGGCGCCGCCCCGCCTCGGCCGAGTCGCCCGCGGATGCCCTGCGACGTGTCGCCCAGCGCAGGGCGCAGGTGCAGCCGAGGCGCCGCGAGGCCTCAGCCCCCGCGCCCTGCCCGCGCCTGGCGGCGGCGGAGGCGGCGAGCAGCGGACCAGCCACTGCGGAGGCGGCTGATGCAGCCCGTCCAGCGGGATGGAGGGTCAACGGCCACCTCCTCATGGAGTCGAGAGTCGAAGGAGACGACTCCGAGCCCTTCTTGGTCTGCGCGGCTTGCTGGATGTACTGCCGCCTCCCCAGGTACGCGCGCCGCGGCCTGGGCAAGCAGTGCGGGGCCAGCGCGGCGGCTGGGCAGCCCAAGTGCAAGAAGGGATCCAGAGCCCAGGCGCGGTCGGACTTCGCTCGCGGCATCCTGCCAGCGTCGAAGGAGCCGATCGCGCCGCTGGCCTCGCCAACGGAGTGCACGCGCCGGCGCTGGGCGGCGGCGCTCCAGGCCAGGCAGGGCCACGGCGCGGAGGGGCAGGCGCTCGCGGCAACGCCCGTGCCAGCGCAGCGGCTGCCAGCAGCCGCCCAGCCCCCACCGCCTGCGGCTGGCGCTGGGAGCCAGGCGGCTGCGCCGCCGAGCGCCGCGGCTACGCGGCGGCTGGCCGCGGCGGCCCCGCGGGAGGAGGCCGCCGAGCCGCGGCGGCCCCGCCCAGGGCTCGAGGGTGTACGTGGAGCCCACGGCTTCGCGGACGCAGCGGCGGCCCGCGAGCGCGGGCGAGCCGCGACGGCAGCGGCCGCCCGCGCAGGCCGCGCGGGGACGCGCGCCGAGGGCTGAGGCGGCCTCGGCAGGCGGCTGTTAGCGCCCGCGCGGCCCTCCGCCTCTCCGCCTTGAATTTATGCAAGAATCCGCCGAGCCCGCTCGGCGCCCACACAGATAAAAAAAATGCCATTGCCGTGCTCCTGCTATGTGTGTAGCTGTGTCGGCCCCGCTTGGGCGGCACGCGCGCTGAAGAACAAGTTGTGGCATGAGCTGTGTGGCGGTCGCTCTCTGGCCACACCGCTCGGGAAGCGATGCACGATCATACGGTGGGGGCGTTGGTTAAGGAATGCGCCCAGGATGCTGCAGACCCTGGAGGATTCCTTATCTGATGAGGGCGGCGGTGATATCCATGGCCAAGCCTCGATTGGAGTTCCACCGGCCTCCAGTCCCTGGATTCCTTATCTAAGGGCTCCTTATCCAATGCCCCCACAGTGCTGTTGTGCCGTATGATCTGGTCGGACGCACGCCTCCACGGAGGACACATGGCACCGGTGTGTCCTTCTGCGACCATTTCCCTTTCCTGTGGCTTCTGGGAGGGTCCGCTTCCCCCATGCCTCTCCCCTCGGGCACGCCGCCGAGCAACGGTCGCGCACTGTCGGGCGACGAAGTCTATACGTCTCCGCTGCTCCCTGGCAAGGCCCGTCCCGAGCCCAGGAGCTGGGTGCTGGCGCCCTCCCGGCCAAGCCGGGAGGGCGCGGCGTGGGACACCGCTGCTGGGTTCGGGGTGGGCCTGACCAGGGAGCAGTGGCTGTGTACACGCCGGTCGCTGGAAAAGCAGGTATTTCTGGATTCCCAGATCTCAAGCTGCTTCAAGCGCCCTCCTACCTCAAGAATCGGCATGCTGTTGCTGGGTTCTGTTCATCTCCGGGAGGTCCTGAGCCCAATTCATTTCATCCGCCTTCATACCTCATGTCTTTACCCACTTCTTCCGGCCGACGGGTGTAGATTCCGTCGCCCTACTCTGCACCGCGGCGACGTCAATAATCTCGCCGCGCAGCCCGATCGGTGAAGGCGCGGTGCCCCGCTGTGCGGCGGGGCCGCCGGCTGCCGCTGCTCCTGCTGCTGCTGCTGCTCTTTCACCTGGCCCTCGTCCTCGTCCTCGTCCTCCTCGCCCTCGTCCTTGTCCTCCTCGCCTTTGTCCTCCTCGTCCTCGTTCTTCTCGTCCTCGTTCTCGTCTACGTTCTGGTCTCCGCTGTCGTCGTCGTCTTCGTCGTCGTCATCGTCGTCGTCCTCGTCAATCTCGTCGTCGTCGTGGTCGTCGTCGTCGTCGGGGGAAGGCCGTACGAAAGGTTCCCTGGGATTTTCTGGTGTGTGTGTGTGTGTGAGAGCGTATGAGAGTGTGTGTGTGTGTGTGTGTGCTTGTGCTTGTGTCTGTGCTTGTGTTTGTGTTTGTGTTTGTGTTTATGTGTAGTTGTGCTTGTGTCTGTGTTTTTTGTGTGTGTGTATGTGTGTGTGTGTGTGAATGTGTGTGTGTGTGTGTTTGTTTGTGTGTGTGTGTGCGTGCGTGCGTGCGTGCGTGCGTGCGTGCGTGTGTGTGTGTGTGTGTGTGTGTATGTGTGTGTGTGTGTGTGTGTGTTTCGTGCGTGCGTGCGTGCGTGCGTGCGTGCGTGCATGTGTGCGTGCATCTCTCAAACAGCTTTCGCACCAATTAGATGCCCGTAGTCTTGGCCCGCAGTGTCCACCCCGGCAGCGCGCGGCCTCACGGCCTTGGTCACAGTGTTGTTACAGAGTTGCCCACTGCTGGGCATCTCTGGACGTGCTTCAGCTACACTGGCCCGCCGCCGACTGGGGCAGCGCGCAGACGTCCGCAGCAGCACAGTGCGCTGGCCGCCTGCCTACCGCCCGCCGGCGCTGGCGCCAGCGCTTCCGCCCCGCCTGCGGGGATCTCCCTGCAGGCGGGGCGCTCCTCTCCCTCGCCCTCCCTCCCCCCCCCCGTTCCCTTTCCCCCCCTACTTCTGCGCGCCGCCGTGGCGCTCGCGAGGCTCTCGCAGCTCGCAGCCTCCCCATATGGTTGGGCACCTGGGCTTGATCTTGCTGCCTGTTCCCTTCCACGGGCCCAGCATTTTGCTTGTTGCAGTCCGAACCTAGACTGCACACGTACTTGCCGTGCCCTGTCACGTGCCACCCACCTGGGCGGCCTGCGGCTCTCGTTCTGTCGACCAAGTATCTCGCCTACTTCATCGGCAACGTCACTGGAGAATGTATTTGCTTTACCCGCACTGGGCTCCGTCATCGCCCGTGGGTGCCCTGGCGCCGCAACCCGGCAGCTGCTATGGATCCCGCTGGCGGAGCTGGCCGCGCTAGCGCACTCAGGTGAGCACTCTTCCACCTCTGGGTGGCCTTCTCTTCTCCTCCTCTCCGCGGCCGCCCTCCTTGCCCTCGTCCCGCTCCTGCACGCTGGCCAATTCGCTTTTCGGTGCCCCGTTTAGCTCTATCGCTGGCGCAGCCAATTCTGCCTCGCCGCCGACGAAACAATGTGCGTATATGTATGTGTATGTGTATGTGTATGTGTTTGTGTTTGTGTCTGTGTGTATGTGTGTGTTGCGGGATATTGTTTTTTCGTTCATGCAAGAGGTTCAAATATCGGAGGTTGGGGGGCGAGATCGCGTCGGGAAGGAGACCCCCAACGCGGAAATCGTTTCGTTTCGTTCGTGTTGTGCGTGCGGGCGAGGCGAAACTGCGTGGTTGCGCGGGAGGAATGAACCCGCCGTTGCTGGGGCGAAATCAGGACAAATGATTATCCCCCGCCCGCCCGTCCGTCCGTCTGGCGGTGACTCGCGGTGTCACGCGGTGTCCCGTGGTGTCCAGTGGTGTCCGCCGGTGCTAGGGCGACGTCAAGACAAATGATTTTCCCCCGCCCGCCCGTCCGTCCGTCCGGCGGTGGCTGGCGGTGTCCCGCGGTGTCCCGTGGTGTCCCGTGGTGTTCCGTGGTGTCCCGTGGTGTCCCGTTGAGATCTGTAGTGAGATCGAGCGTGGGATCGATCGTGAGATCTATAGTGAGATCAATCGTGCGACCGATAGTGATATCGATACTGAGATCGATGTGGTGCCCCAAGGTGTCCCGTGGTGTCCCAACAAGTGAGATCGATAGTGATATCGATCGTGAGATCGACATGTGTCCTGTGGTGTCCCGTGGTGTCCCGTTGAGTGAGATCGATAGTGATATTGGTCGTGAGATCGATAATGAGATCGATATGGTGCTCAGAGGTGTCCCGTGGTGTCCCGTTGACTGAGATCGATCGTGAGATCGAGCGTGGGATCGATATAGTGAGATCAATCGTGAAACCGATACTGATATCGATACTGAGATCGATGTGGTGCCCCAAGGTGTCCCGTGGTGTCCCAACAAGTGAGATCGATAGTGATATCGATCGTGAGATCGACATGTGTCCTGTGGTGTCCCGTGGTGTCCCGTTGAGTGAGATCGATAGTGATATTGGTCGTGAGATCGATAATGAGATCGATATGGTGCTCAGAGGTGTCCCGTGGTGTCCCGTTGACTGAGATCGATCGTGAGATCGAGCGTGGGATCGATATAGTGAGATCAATCGTGAAACCGATACTGATATCGATACTGAGATCGATGTGGTGCCCCAAGGTGTCCCGTGGTGTCCCAACAAGTGAGATCGATAGTGATATCGATCGTGAGATCGACATGTGTCCTGTGGTGTCCCGTGGTGTCCCGTTGAGTGAGATCGATAGTGATATTGGTCGTGAGATCGATAATCAGATCGATATGGTGCCCAGAGGTGTCCCGTGGTGACCCAAAAAGTGAGATCGATTGTGAGATCGGCAGGTGTCCCGTGGTGTCCCGTGGTGTCCCGCGGTGTCCCGTTGAGTGAGATCGATTGTGAGATCGATAGGTTGATCGTGAAATCGATGTGGTTTCCCGAGCTGTCCCGTGGTGTCCCGTGGTGTCCCGTTGAGTGATATCGATCGTGAGATCGATAGTGAGACCGATCGTGAGATCGACAAGTGTCCCGCGGTGTCCCGTGGTGCCCCGTTTAAAAAAAAAACGATAGTGACATCGATTGAATCAGATGTTGGTTCCCCCCTCTCCCCACCCACACCCTTCTTATCACCCGAAGGGTGGTCGTGTATGTATGAATACACAAAGCACTGTTCCTGGCGAAGGACCCAACTGTACGCAGTTGTGAGTACCGTCGTTGTGGGTATTGCTTTCGGGGTGGCCATAACGCACGCGGACACCGCCACTGAGGCCTTCGGTGGAGCGCCCTATGAGGCCACGAACCGATGCACCGGGTGCAGGAAACGCATGCGAACACCGCCACTGAGGCCTTCGGTTGAGCGCCCTACAGGGTTACGAAGCGCTGTATTGGGTGGGGGAAACGCATGCGGACGCCGCCACTGGGGCCTTTCGGTGTAGCTCCCTATGGGGCCACGAAACGTGTGAGGGGTGTGCCAAAGTGGACGAGGGGGCTGCATGCGAGCCATGCTAAAGGAGCCTTCGGTGGAGTTCCCTGTAGGGGCCACGAAGCGTATGAGGGGTGTGCCAAATTGGACGGGGGGCGGCATGCGAACCCTGCCACTGGGGTCTGCAGGGGAGCTCCGTGTAGGGGCAACGAGACGTGTGAAGAGTGTGCCAAAGTGAAAGGGGGGCGGCACGCGAACCATACCACTGAAACCTTCGGTGGAGTTCCTTATGGGGCCACGAAGAATGCGAGGGGTGTGCCAACGTAAGGGGGGTGACAAGAGGATGATGAGGAGTCGGAGTCGGAGTCGGAGTCGGATGCCTGGGCAGCTGTCCGCAATCGTTCTCTGAGAGCCTGGGCTGCTGGCGCGTTGCACAGGCGATACGAAGGGGGTCGCCTTCGGGACCCGTGGCTTTTAGGCCTTTTGGCCCGTTGCAGCGCAAGGCCAACCCGACGTAAAAAACAACAAAAACGTCACGGATCGTCGTCGGCGGGGGGCTTATGACCTTTGGGCCAATCATCCCCGACTCGGGGTAGTTGCTTGCACTCGGCCTTCGGTGCAAAGGCAGTCTGCTACCGCTCCCCGTCCACCCCACCCATCCACACCCCTCCCCCCGATCCACCATCTAACAGGTCTCCATATCGCGTGTTTACGAGGAGGAGGAGCAGGAGGAGGAGGAGCGGGAGGAGGAGGAGGACGAGGACGAGGATGAGGACGAGGAGGACGAGTTTGACGAGGAGGAGGAGGACGAGGAGGACGAGGAGGACCATGAGAACAAGCAGGAGGAGAGGAGAGGAGAGGAGAGGAGAGGAGAGGAGAGGAGAGGAGAGGAGAGGAGAGGAGAGGAGACGCGGGGAGTGTCTTTTTCAAAAAGAGGACCCAACACCACATGATGGCTGGGAATACTCAGGAGGGAAAGAAACACACAGACACTATTGATCGTCGATTCCCCAGAAAATATGCGAAAATATTGGAAGTGTGTGTGGGGGGGGAACGAAAATCCAGAAAATATGGGAAACTATGGGGAATATGTTTTATGTGTGTGTATCTATTTGTGTATTTGTGTGTCCTGGGGCCCCTTTACATACATCAATAGAGACATAAGTAGGTGTATAGATCCCCACCTCCACCCTAGAGGGATTAGTCGGCCAGTGGGGCCAAGGCCATGCTAGTGGGGACGGGGATCGGTCGAATGATGCGCACCAACGTCCGCGCCATCATGACGGGAGCCAAGCCGCAGTCTTGGACGGCTTCTTACCAACCGTAGTCTGGAGCAGCCTCTTTTTGTTTTCCCCGCCACAAGGTGCAGGTGTGCCAGGCCTGCTGCCCTGGTAGGCCTCGAGCGTGTGTGCGTGCGCGACCGAAATTTGACACATCTCGTTGGTGATGCTGCTGCTCCTCCTCCTCCTCCTCCTCCTCCTCCTTATCCTCCTTCTGTTCCTCCTCCTGTTCCTCCTTCTCCTACTCCTCCTCCTCCTCCTCCTCCTATTTGGTAGCGTCTCAGGTCCTCTGCGGCTCTATATCAGATGCTGTAGATGACTGGCAGAAGAATGCAAGGCCAACTGCACAAGCATTCACACATGCATTCCCCAGGGAGAATGACAGGGCGCCCTCTTTCCCCAGGGATAACAGGAGATACGCAACCATACGCCGTCAAACAGTGTAAGGTGGCCCGGATGACGCTTAAAACGGTGATCACGCAGAACTCTTACGAAGGGCGAACGGCGCACCGTGTGCGAATGGAGATGGCACGCACGCCAGGCAGGCAGGGAGGCAAAGGAGTTGCTCACATCAACACTGGGCCCAGAGGAGGAGCAGGAGGAGGAGGGGGAGGAGGAGGAGGATGATGATGATGAGGAGGAGGAGGAGGAGGAGGAGGAGGATGGTGAGGGGCTGAGGGTTCCGACGCAAAGCCGAGCGTTCCAGCAGGCCCGCCAAACATCGAATACTCGCGAGTTTAGGGGAGGGGATGGGCCATAGCGTCATAACCCTCCCCTGTCCATATGTCCATATTTCCATATTCATCTCATCCGGCCCCGAGCCGAAGTGGGGGCCTGAAGCCCTGCGTGGGTAGGGGCTTCCCATAGGCGTGTTGCCACGCCCCTTCTGAAGTATGCCCTAGCAGCCACTGCCTGTGCCTTAGCGGAACCCCCGGCTGCCCAAGGTTCGAGTCGAGTCGAGAGGAGGAGGAGGAGGAGGAGGAGGAGGAGGAGGAGGAGGAGGAGGAGGAGGAGGCGGAGGAGGAGGAGGAGGAGGACCCCCGCTCCTATCCCGAGGCCGTTTCGACACAGGCTGGGAGGCCCGCCCCGACCCAAGACCTCCACCCACGGTCGGAAACGCCGGTGCTGCTTTCCGCCTTCTGGTGGCTCTGACTCGGGGGCCCCCAAGTCGGGTGGTGACCACACCGTGTGGTGAGTCAGTGGGGATTCGGGGTCGCCGCACGGGTTTGGGACCTGGGTCGGTCTCTGAGGACGTCTGGGGCGGCGGGGGCCTCCAGGGTCCCAAGAGACCGTGTGGTGAAGAGACCCTGCGGTGAAGTCTCTGGGGATTTCGGGGTCACCTCCGGGTCTGTCACCACACGACTCTGGGACCCCCAATTGGCCACCCACTGGGCGGGGTTTGGACCCGGCTGCGGCCCATGAGCTCTGAGGGCCCGCAGCATGCGCGCGGCCGCTTCCTGCCAGGAGAGGGGGCCGCCAGCGAGCAAGGCGAGCGGGCCACCCCGGCCCGCCGAGCCTCGCGCCGCGCACTCGGCGCGAGAGCGCAGCGGACGTCCCCGTCCGCATGTTCCTCGGCATTGCTGCGCCTCCTCACCTCCTCAATCTTCCTTTTGAACTCATGCTTTGTCCTTTCCATTTTTACTCCTCCCTCCTCCTCCTCCTCCTCCTCCTCCTCCTCCTCATCATCATCATCATCATCATCCCTCCTCCCTCCTCCCTCCTCCTTGTCCTCGTCCTTGTCGTCCGTCCCTTCCTCCTCCTCCTCCTCCTCCTCCTCCGCATCCTCCTCCTCCTCCTCCTCCTCCGTCCCCTCCTCCATCCGTGGCCATTTTGTCTCAAGTCGCCATGTCGCCGTGCATCGCCGTGCGGCCACACGGAAACCGCCAGGCCGCGGAAGATACCCCACCATTTCCAGCACCACTCAGGGGTGAGCTGACACCCACGCTATGCCTGCGCCGCCGTGCGTAGCCTCCATATCGCTGTCAAGCAGCTTACTCTGGTCCTGTGGACGAGGTCTCCCCCGACGACCGCAGCACCAGCCGCAATGGACGTATGTGGACGTGGTTTTGCGAAACCTGATTTCGACACTGCTTGGCGTGGACAAGATCGGGGACAGCTACCTGGACATTTTCTCTCTCTCTCTCTCTCTCTCTCTCTATATATGTATAGATATGTAGTTGAAAAAGGACCTCGTCAAGCGCGGGCAGATGGCTCCACTGGCGCCCGAGACCACGCTGAACCGCGGCAACATCGATCTGGACCATCCCGCGCCAGTTCGTAGAGAAGCTGGACCTCGAGACGGAAATCGGGATGAGGCTGCAGCTGAATATCAATTTGACCAGCGAAAAAGGACTTCGACATCCAAACGCCCCTCGTCAGCTCGCACCGGGTGGCGCCACGGCTCCCATGGCTGCTCAAGGCTCCGCATCTCGTTGCGCCGTACGACCTGAAAAGGAGGGCAGAAGGACCAGTGGCCGAAACCGCTGGAGGAGAACGGGAAACGTTGCCAGATCCCCTTCAGCAGTCTGGTGGAGACCCCTGGCATGGCGCTGCTCCCCGTCCTCCGCACCGAGTGCGTGTGCCACCTGAAAAATGGAGGACAAGCTGACTAAACCTTCGAGGCTGTTTCCCTGACCGCCTCCACCTTGCCGCTGCAGTCACCGGCCCCTGCGCCAGTTCATCCCGAACGTGAGCTCGAACGCGCCAGCCAAGGTCCTGGAGTTGCTCTTGCTCAAGGTACACCCGCAGCGTTCCAAACTATTGTTGGCAAGCTACGTGCCCAACTACTTGAGCACGTCTACGCCGCCATGGACACCTTCAGCTGCGAAGCCTCGACTTCGCTTGCCGCCTCCGTCGATCAGCTCCGCGTCTCCACCAACCGCAGGCTCGACGCCGCCTTGTCTGCGGTCGGAGACCATCGTCGACGTGTCATTCACGCAGAGGAAGCCCAACGACGAGCGGCAGCGCGCGCTGCTGACATCCAGCGCCAGCTCGCCATCGTGGAAGCCCAACTATCTGCGATCGACGCTGTCGCCCTGGCGGACTGGGACAATGCTCCCGACCCATCGATCTACTCCATCGGCCCCGCCGAGATCGTCTCCCCGCAGGCGGTCTACCAAGGCCTCGCGCAGTGGGTCAACGAGGGGGGGCTCGAGCTCAGCATGGCCCAGTTGGCCGGCGACGCCCCCTTCCAAGCGCTTCGCGCGTCAATTTCTGGGAGGTCGCGCACTGACCTCGCCCCGCTCGACAGCTTCGGCCAGAGCCCAGCAAACAGACCGGCGGACGATGGCGCGACTCCTCCGCCAATCCAGTCGCGGGAGAGAGAGCCCCACTTCGCGTCAGTTCTGATCGCGGCCACAAGCAGATCAGAGGAAATATGCATGCGACACGTCTGCGCCGCCTCCTACGTGAAAAGAATCTCGAGAAACAAATCAAAGCCCACAAACCCAAGGGCCGCGTCGTGCTGGATGGCGCCCCGCTGGACAAGCTGGAGGTCCAGCTCGCCGTCCGCTACGGGCATGGCGAGGACCGCGTCGCTGCCGAGTTCTAAGCGTTCTTCGCGGAGGATCGGGGCATGCAGCGGGGGCAATGCTTGCTCGGCCCCGTGGACTACTCTCGCCCGCGGCGCGCGCGCTGACCCGTGGAATGCCAGAGGCTTGATATTTTGGAACCCGCGCCGCCGCGCGAGGATGATTACGCCCCTCGAGACCTGCCTGCGGCAGGAGGCCATCATTGCACGGGAAGTGCATGGCAATGCTTCGCACGTGCGACGTCTGGACTGGCCGCCTGGCCCGTGTCTCGCATTCAACAGCAGCTTTGACAATGTGGGGAAAGGTGGTGTGTCTGCTCTGTTTCCCGACCGCCCTCCCGTCCAAGTCGCGGGCGCCCCCGAGCCCGAGTTGCCTGGCGCGCCCTTCTGCGCTGGGTCGGAGACCGAGTCGGACTCCAGCACGACTTCTGGCTCAGCGTGCTCCTCACCAACCACTTCCTCGCCATCAGCAAGTTCCTCGCGTTCCTCGTTGGCTCCTGCGCTGGTGGCTTCAGCGCGACCACCGCCGGCTGGCAGCTGGCCTCCTCGGCTTCCTCACTACCTCGCCAGAGTGGACATGTACCGACGTCGTTACCTACCGCCAGCGCGCGGTCATCGACGGCCGCGTCGACCTCGTCGAGATGCTCTGCGGCGCGGAGCGCCGCCCCGTCCTCGTGAATGACCGCGACGACGACCTCAAACCCCAGCATTGTGCCGATATCCAGCTGGAGTGTTCCCGTCTGCAGAAAAAGGGCGGCGGCCGCTCCTCGAGACAGACTCCCCGTGGCGCTCGGCTACTTCGACGTGCGCGACGCGCCCCCGTCGTCTTTCGCCGCGCGGATGGCAAGTGCGTCCTCTGCATCGGCAACCTCGCCGGAAGCGAACCTCGCTGCTCCGTCGGGCGACCGGCGCCAACGCTCATTGGAGCGCTGGTTCGGATGCGCGGTAAAGGTCGAGAACGGCCATCCGACGAGGTTCGACCGTCATGCACTGATGGCCGCGGAGGTAGACCGAGTCTTCGTCAGACCCCCTGCTCGCGCCATCCCGGGCTCGTCCGCCCATGTGCGCGTGGGCCAAGAAGCAGCTTCCCTGTGTGGCGCCCGCGCGAGTGGCCGCGGCATCTTATCGCGACGCTTTGAGTTGGCGGAATTGGCGCAGGACGAGTGCCATTGCGTCCCTGACGTCCATCGTCGTCTCGCAGTTCCTAAACCACTGCGACCAATTGCAATCGCACTCCAACCTGCAAGGCCGCTCTCCTGCTCAGGGCCAGCGGGCCATGAAGACCAACGTGACCAGCTTGGCGAAGCTCATTGGGGACCTCCTCACTGCCGTGCCTGGAGGTTCGAAGCAGCGGCCCGCGCCGTCGCCGTTCGCCCACTCTTTCGCGCGGCGCGGAGACAAGACGCGAAGCCCGCGGCCAACCTCATTCCGCGCGCGAGGCTGGGCAAGGAGCACCTGCGCATCGAGGGGCGTGGCGTCGCGCTCATCAACGAGACGGACTTCGCCACCTCTGCGGCACCCACCCATCGCCCACATGCCCATTTGCCTCAGGAGGGTGCGGAGGCGCATGCCGCCAAATCAGCGCGCCTCCAGGGGGCGCGCGACCCCGAGCGCATCGCGGCGCACGCTCCAGCGTCGACTCCGACTTTGGGCGCCCTGCGTTTCGCGGCTGCGG